ATTCCAAGTTGCCAAGTTGGTTAAAATAGGGCTTCATTGTTTCATAAGAAATAGAATGGGAGGTTTTAACCAAATACTCAGTTTATCGCAAGGACACAAACAGATTGGAATCATAAGGCTCAATACTTTTGAGAGTGGGGTGGGCGATAGACTTACCTCCGTGTGGTGCACATTGGGCAACGTACACTCATACGACAAAAAGTCTGTTAATCGGCAGTTGACTTCTGACTTCAAACTACCATCACCCCATTGCATTTCATATTCGACTATTTCACGGTACTCACCTCACCTTTTTTCTACCTTTGTGCCTCTCTGTCCCTTTTACGTCTGTGAATCATTATTCTGTCCCCCACCAGTTGGATGTTCATCTTCCTTTCTGTGAAGCCTGAAGTTTCACTTTGGTGTTCCTCTTCCTTTCTGTGAAGCCCAAAGTCGCTTTGATGTGTCTCCTCCACTCTGTGAAGCCCGAAGTCAACTAAAGACCTGATGATACCTATCATAACGCCTGCCATTTGAAATAAATATTTTTGAGAGTTTTCGAGATATTTTCATTTCCATCCGAGACAACTATGTGCTGAAACCCAAGTCCTGCTAATTGGAGATTATTTCAAAAGCATATAAGTGTTTTTTGTTAAGTAAAATGAACGAAAGTATATATATATTTTTAGTATGGCTATTTAGTAAAAATAATTTTCGTATTCTAAATGTCAAAGTTGCGAATTTCCAGCAACAATGTGACCTTTCAACCACTCCTGGTAGTGTATTGCATTTTAGGTAACATTTTCATATATATATATATATTTGGAAATTCAAGACGCTCTTTTTTCAAAAGCAGGAAAAATCCCGCATCACGTAGGTATGATTCAATAACTCCGGTGGAGTTTGACCAGGGGGGAAAGATTTTTATCTACTAAAATAAATACCGCCCGCATTATTAAAATAGTCTATCGATTGAAATCGGAAAATTGAGATCCAAGTACCGAGATAGAATATTCTCGAATCGATTTTTGATTATTTGTAATCTTTGTGGTTAGAGAGAGAAAGAGTGAGTGAGTGAGTGAGAAAGGATAGGATTTGGCATTTGTGAAATGACAACTTAAATTGTGAACTAATTAAAGACAGCGAGAGAGTGGCTTATTCTTAAATGAATTATTTTCGACATCAGAATTAAAGATTGGATTGATTTTGCACTTTATGAAAACTGGACCCTTTATGGACACGAATTTCCCCAATTGTTTTAAATTCGCAAGGAGATGGTTGATAGCAATAGGTATTGAATACTAAAACAAATAAGTGAGATTTGAATTTAGCAGCAAAACCGATTGATTAAAACAAATACTAGCACATTACTTTAAGAGCAATATGGGAAAAAAATCAATAATAATTTTGAGCACTGTAAAACAAAGAGAGAATTCATGAGAAATGATGTACTACTAGAAATTTTAGTGTTTCATCGAATTTTTGTCTTTTTTTTGAAATGCGAATCAAGGAGAACATTGGCCTAAAGAGTAATTCTTTAGATTTTAACCAAAAGAACTTTGTTTGCATGATTGGTCTTAAGAGGTGTGCGATAGACTTTCCTCCACGAGGTGAGCCCTGGGCAACGTATACTCATACGACAAAAAGTCTATTAACTGACAGTTGACTTCTCACTTCAAACTACCATGACCCACCCCACTGTATGCCATATTCGACCATTTTCACAGTTCTCACCTCAGTTTTTTTCTACCTTTGTGTCTGTCTCTTTTGCATCTTTGAAACTACTTTTTTCTACCTTTGTGTCTGTCTCTTTTGCATCTTTGAAACTACTTTGTTTCCCCTCCCCTCGTGACTTTTTTTCCACTTTGATGTTCCTTCCCCCCTGTGAAGCCTGAAGCTAACTAAATGGCTAATGATAACCGTCAAAACGCCTGGCATTTGAACTAAATATAAATTATCGATCTTAAAGCTCACCTCTGATTGAGGTAAATTTTTTCAAAGAATTGAAATTATGGAGGTATTCATGACAGTGAAATGCCAATCCAAGCTTGTCATAGTTCGGTATCCATTGTGCAAAAACGGTATTAAGAGAATTTTGCATTTCACTGATCTCACTAAGTTTCGAATAGCAAACTATCTACAGTCCATTTCCAAGCTGAATTTCAGTTGAAAACCTAGATTTCTTGTTTAAATCGTAAGTTTGCTGAAGAGTCAGAACTATGGCTGCAGGGTGCTAAGGGGACACATTTTATGGTAGAGATCTAAAAATGAGCTCATCTGTACCAGGTCTTGAGCATCTGAGTTCGCCATTTGTGCAGACACATCGACCAGCGTGGGTGACCAAATGCTGCGCCGGATCTACAGTGATGAGTGCCGTCTTTTCCATCGCGTTCACAGTTGCATTTGATATTGGCGCCAGGGGTTCTTCATTGCTTTTCTCATTCCTTTTACTCGTCTTGCCACTGGAATCCTCTGATTGGCCTTCTGAATTGAAAACACTGACGAAACGGGATAGGTCTTTCGGACCAGGCGCCTCCTCCAACCAATTGATTGTCGATACGGTTACATTGCATTTCTTACTGCCTATACAAAAATGGTGCTTGTGATTAAATCAATAATTTTGAATTGAAAATTGCCTACTTTCATCAATCCTTTAACTTTAATTCAAAATTGTAATTGTTCTCATCTCTCTCTCTTGTTAAATTCGCATGTATTTTATTGCGAATTCTAGTTTATTTGCAGATGTTCCACTGAGCAATTTTATAGTTAATTTTTGCCAAAAAAGATTGATTCAAGTTTCATGCCAGATCAACTTCATTAAGCAACTCTTCTACCTAAGGTAAGTACTAGAGAGAATGAGTGAGAGAGTTCTCCAAAATTGATCCTGCCGATCAACGTGCTAATTAACCTAAATTGGCATTGGTGTGCAGCCGGCGACTGGTTAATTCGGTTCCACAAAAAGGCTGGTTGAGTAAGAGTCCCTATTGGATGTGGCTTCAGAGCACATTTCTTCCACCAAAGTGAAGCGCTTTCCTAAATTTAAATGAGATGTGCTAGTAATTGTGTTGCATTATTTTTCAAATGTCTGATCACTGTGGCATTAAAGGCAATGAGCTTGCTGACACACTTGCTAAGAAGGGGACAACGATTTTGCAATGCATGGACCGGCCGATGTCTTTCCGCACAACGAAGGCCTTAATCAGAAGAGAATTTCAGACCTCAAGGTGCAACGAACTTAAAGCTCGAACAAAGGAGAAACAGTGGACAGTGGCACTCTCCGACATACCCGACTGGCCAAGAATCGAAGCCGTTGCTGAGTTTAGACTACGTACCGGACACGATTGCTTGGCAAAACACCTTCACAGATTGGGAGTATACACTCAACCCACATGCCCCATATGTAACCCACAGAAGGAAATGGAGAAGACCCACCTGATTCGATGTCCAGCCCTAAAGACAACGACGGGAAGCCAGAGATACTGGGAAGCAAGAAGACGGCTAATGAACTGCTATTTATTATCTGCTATAAATGTATCCCCCTACCAGCGTTGGGGGAAGCTGAAGTCAAAGTTTAAGGGCTAATGATAAGTATCACAAAGCCTGCCATTTGACAAAATATTTTCAAATGTGCCACTTATCTTACGAGTTCTACTCCTGAAGTTCCATGTCGGTCTACAGGGTGAGAATAGGTGGCAGAATGGTTATCGACTGAAATATTCCATTTTTCTTCATTTCTTCAGTAATCGAAGTAATTAATGCATAGAATAACGCCAGAGGTTTTATCATGTGTCTATTACTGTAACTGTTTATTGTTATTACTATTATTATTATTATTATTAATGAAGTCAAATATCTACCCTCTAATTTCAGATAATTTTGACTTCCTTGGGGGATACGTTGGTCTTTTGTCAGGAAATTTCAATTTCATCCCATTTTTCACTTGCAGCCTTCCTGTCACAAGGTGCATTTTCGTTCGTCCTGTAAGGTGATTTCGGCC